CTGGCCGTGCGCACCCGGCACGAGCTGCACTTGGTGGCCGGAGGAGTGGCGGCCAGGCTGTCCGTGCGCGAGCGGCGCACCAGGCCCGTCTGGCTGGGAGGCAGGTTGACCAGGTGGTGGTGGCGGCGCGCGCCGGGGACACTGATGGGGTGCGTGGCCGACGACCCCGACGACTGGCTCTTACTGCGCGGCCGGAACTCGAAGAGCTCCTTGAGCGCCTTCATGGCCTCCAGGATGGTCTCGTGGATGTTCTGCGCCACCACCGAGTCGTCGGCCTGCATCCACAGCTCGCCGGGGCCCGTGACGGCCGAGCGGCCCACCTCGATGAAGAAGAAGCTGTCCGAGTGGCCGCAGCGGCGGATGTTCATGAGCTGCAGGGTCACCGACGGCTGCTCGCAGTTGAGCTTCACGAAGCCGATGGTGCGCGCCGACAGGCACAGGCGGTACACGCCGGTCAGGTTCTTGGTCTGGCCCAAGCCTTTGGGCTTCAGGTTCACCTGCCACACCTCACGGTAGGCGGCCGTGGCGGGCGCCACCANGCTTTGCGCCCGGGTGGTGGCCGGGGGCCCGGCCCGCGGGCTCGTTTCCCGGCATGACATTAGTCACCGGTGAGCTCGGGATCGGTCGCAGCCTCGTGCCCTTTCCTGGAAGGAGAGCCGCGGTGCAGGAGGGGGCGCGGGCGTGGCACCCGGGGTCCCACCCGCTCGGGGCGCCCTCCCCCCGCAGCCCGCGGTCGCAGGCTCTTTCCGGGGCGTCATCAGCGCCATTCACTTGTCAGGTCCTCGGGATGTGGTAATCGCGTGTCTGGGATGTAATAGGAGAAAGGGAAGGAGGACCAGCAGGCGTAGAAAAATGCCGTTTCCATAGCGCTGGGAAGAGGGCGGGCCTCGGCGACAAAACAGCCCCCGAGCCGGGTCTCCGCGGCGGGGTCCCCCCTGCCCACCAGCGCCCTGTCGCCGCGCACAGCGGAGGTGGGCGTCTCCACACCTGCGGGCGCCGCGTCGGGCAGCGACTGCCAAATCGAGGATGCCCTTGGGGAACCGCTTCGAATTTTTACATCTGCGTGGCTTTTGTGACTCTCAAAGTCGACGACAAATAAGCTCTCCTACAATCGCATCCACCGAATCACAAAGTGAGGGTACTGGTGAGGGCGGGGAGTCCTTGAGTGCGGAGCGGCGCAGTCTCCGGATCCTACAGCAACTGAAACAAAACAAACCCTGGTCTATTAAAAAGAAAAGAAAAAGTGTGTCTTCATGGAATGATTTGCAACAATAGTTTATCTCCCTGTAATCTGGGCTATTTTTTATTAAGTCCTCGAAGCTTGCCTTTGAATATCCTCTGCAATTTATTAAAAGTCTTTATTTTCAGTGTAATAAAATCTTTAGTCTAAGGAAAATAATCTTAAGGATTGCAATTTTTGAAAGAGCAAACTGTTTGTTAACATTTCTGTGAAATGTGACTTGAAGACTGTGATGGTTAATTTCGTGTGTGAGAGAGCCCAGACTAGTACAGAGATCGTAGCGGTTTTGTTTTTAGCACGTATACAGTTATGATGGCTCATGAGTAGCATAAATTTAGGAATAATCAGTGTGGCGAATATCATGAAATTTGCCTCGAAAAGGTGGATTTAAAGTTGATCTTCCATTTTTAAACCATGCCTTTAAAAAATAATACCTTAAGGAATGCCATTTTAGGGGTGTGCACCTGCGTGTGTGCATATGTGTGAATGTATGATTGTGTGGGTATGTGTTGGGGACGCTACCTTTATGGACATCGTGCTTTGATTTTCTATGCTTTTTAGATCTTGTTGCTTTTTTTTTTTTAATGTTAAATGTTGCCTAGCAATATGTCTACTCAGAGAGGAAACATGAAGAGATTCTTATCTTGGAGCTTTAAGAAAATGTGGCCGAATATTACTGGCTCTGTGATCACTTACATCCCACTTTATGAGGGATGTAACTGGGCCTGCCTATATGTTCTATAACCCTAAACAGCACCATGCGATGGTTTCTTCTGAGAAAGTATATTTTGCAGTTGTATCATTTCTTTCCAATTTTGACCTTTTATGCAATATTAGATTTTCATATACATATTGAATATTTACTTGCTGCTCTCATCAGATGTTAGCAACTGTCATCTTTTTGGTTTGTTTGTTTGTTCTTAAGTCTATTCTACTGTTAAATGCCAGTATTTTAAAGTTAATGTGTCGGAAGCTCTCAGCTGGCCGTTAACACTTTCCCTAGGTACTGTCTTGGTTACAAGCTGGGGCAAATGAGGGAAGGGGGACAATGATCACCTTTATCGGTTGCATTCTCATATCATGAAGATTACAAATCTCCTACGGCAAACTGCAAACTAATTGTAATTCTGAAGTTAGAACCTCTAAATACAAATGTGGGAGGTACAACTTCAAGTCTCATTAGGAGTCAGCGCATGGAACCAACAGTAAGAAACTAAGTAATTAGAAGGATCCCAGTCTTCTTCCTCAACCGAGGAATGCGTTTTCTTTCCCCCCTTCAATTGCCAAATAAGCTATTTATTTATTTAAAGCTTGTTCTATACCTTGTGATTTTCCAACTGTTCTCCCATACTTTTCAGCAAAAGTCAGCTAATAACATCTGCCAACATGCTCTGCACACAGGACCGGGTGCTGCTTGCACGGCCTGTTGCCAACAAACAGCCTGGATGAAATTTTTTCTCATGGTCCAAGATCTTTCGTTGGAAGCTTTTCTTCCCTTTGACGAATAACAAGATGGCCATATCTTTTAGCAAGGAGGTTTTTGGTTTTTTCTTTTATTTTTTTTTTAACACAAAATCTGACACAATGGTAATTGTTTACTAAAAGGAAAGATTCTTTCTGGAATAATTCCATTATTTTTTATAAAGGAATCAATTTTATAAAAGTGTAGAAATTAAAAATGTTACAAATCCATAATAAAAATATCACTACTTCTAATAATAATGAGCATCATTAATTCTTCTCTTCTTTGTTTATATGAGAGGCATATAGAAGAGGGGAAAAATAGAAAATATTTCAGTGCTTGTAAGGGTTTTCTTCCTCTCTCTCTCTCTCTCTCTCTCTCTCTCTCTCTCTCTCTCTCTC